CAAGCTACGTGTGCCAATTAAATGTCATATGTGGTCACACATCCTATTTGTCACAAAGATGCTACCTGTGACATCTATATAATGGTTTGGGGATTATTTTGCATTTTCGCCGCCCGAAAACCCTTTTTTGATTAAGTTTAAGGTGTTTTCGGCTCTAACCCTTAACTTGCGTGTGCTAATTACATGCCGTATGTGGCCACAGGTCCTATTAGTGACAAGGATGTTGCCCGTGACATCCATACAGTGGGTCGGGGGCTGTTTCGCATTTTCGGCCCCCCAAAAGCCCTTTTTCGACTAAGTTTAAGGTGTTTTCGGCTCAAACTCTTAATCTACGCATGCCAATTACATGCCGTTAGTGGCCACAGGTCCTATTTGTCGCAAGGATGCTGCCCGTGACATCCATACAGTGGGTCAAGGGCTATTTTGCATTTTCTCCCCCTGAAAGCCCTTTTTCGACTAAGTTTAAGGTGTTTTCGGCTCTAACTCTCAACCTACACTTGCTAATTACATGTCGTCTATCGCCACATGTCCTATTTGTCACGAGGAAGTTGCGTTTTTTAAATAAATTGATCGAAGCCTAGGGAAGCCGAGGACTATTTTGCATTTTTGACCCTTGAATGCTCTTTTTTGACTAAGTTTAAGGCGTTTTGGGCTCCAACTCCCAACAAATGCAATTATAAAAGTAGGTTGGATTATTTAAGTTGGATTATTTTTATTTTTATTTTTCAATGGACTTAAATGAATGTATGTAGTTCCTAGTCTGAAAATAGGTTGGAAGGAAATTGAATTGCATTAGTAATTTTGTTAGGCTTCACTCTATGTTAAGAATTATCAGATCAATTGATTGATATTGTTACTTCTTACTGTTAAGAACTTATTTTTTAATAAAAACAACAGAAGTATTGCTTAATGAAGTATCCTATTGCCTTGAATTCAACCTTCTAATAGATTTGAATAGGATTTGTCAAAACAATTGTAGGTTCTTCAAAACAAGTATGTCAGTATCATCTTATTTTTGTAGAGCTTTTAGTATCATAAGAATTAAATTCGTCTTACCAAATAGTAGGATGACCATCTGAACCCTGCAAGAGGGTAGTGAGCCATAAAACCACATCGTTCAGATGATTGAGTCGTAGTTATTATGCCTCCCTTGGTTTTTTTTTTCCTCCCCTTCTTCGACTTGTTTCATCATATCCTCTATCTCCTTCATAAGATCTTCACCATCTCGTTGGTGCTCCTCTTTCTCCCTCATCAGCTCTTCATGTTCACTTTGGCGCTCCTCATGAAGAACCTCCATCTCAGCTCTCATTGCCTCCATATGTTTATCACAAGCTCGTACCGCACTATTAGATGTGGAAGAGGGTTGTGGGCCTATGCCAAATCCACACAAGTATTTTTTTTTTTTTTTTTGGTCCAAGCACTTGCCTTGACAGTTTCTCCTGGGTCAATGGCATCCTTACTTTGATGGCTGCCACTTGTACATTCACCATCTCATCAGTCAAAAAAAAAAAAAAACACACCGATGTGGTTTGACATGCAAAGTTCTGCTACTGCCGATGTTATACCATTCACATTGGAACAAAACAACTCGACGTCTAAACATATATGCCATTTTCCAAACTAAAGAAAGGTAGTCGTAAAGCTTTATTAATTGGCCTTCATGGTTTCCTTTCACTACCAATCCACTATTTTGAGTTTTATGATAGTTGTCACATTCCATAGTATGGAATTGGATGCCATTACAAATACATCCCAAATATGTGTGAACTAAGCCATTTGGACCATTAGTTAATGACCAGAACTCATTGATTGCTTCTAGTGACTTTTGGTTCCACAATTTGTTCGTCTACATAAAAAAATTTGAATACATGTTATTTTCGACATAATTTAACTTCATGAGTAAACTACATAATAAGGAATTTAGCTTACGCGATCTTTGAACCATTTAAGAAATTCTTTGTATTGTCCAAATGGCCGAATACCAAGAAGTTGATTGAGGATGAAATTGATGTTCGAAAAATGATAATTGAATGTCCAACTGAATCTAAAACAGAGCAAAGTTTAGAAAGTATCCAAAATCAACATAAAATACCATTCGTTGATTTTTTCAGTATGGAGCAATTTAATTTGATTTTCAATGCTTGTCTAATTAATCTTGTCAACCAATTGAAGCATATAGAAAAGAACTTTAAGAATAAAAACTTTTGTACATATAACTTGTGGAAGAGGGATAAGCAACTGAAATATTCAAAATACCTTTTATTTGGCATGAAAGATGACAAATCTCTAATATGAACTCAATGACGAGTTCTTTCAGAAAAGAGGTGCCTGATGTAGGATAAGATTCTAAGAATTTTTATATTTTTAGTTTTAATATTTTTGATATATTATTTTATTAGGATTCTTGTAATTTAGTATAAATATTTTAGAATTATTAGATTTTCTAAATTTTATTATTTTGGAATTAGATTTTGACTAGGAGCTTAAATAGTTTCTTTTAGTTTTCTTAATTTGTGTTGATTTAAGTTTTCTAATTTATTTTTCAACTAATTTTTCTATAAGTATTAGTTTTAATTTATTATAAATAAGTCTATAAGTATATGTAATAAATTTATTCAATTAATAATATTAAGATATTTTCCTTTCTTTCTGAATTTAAGAATTTTTTTTATTTATTAAACTAATATCTAGTCCCGTTTATTTTGCTGTGTCAAAATCAGAAGGATTGACTTTTTTATTTAAATAAATTAGTTATATTGTGTTCCTTTGGTAAGTTGCGTTGAAGTTTTGAGTTTCCGTGTTAAAGCTGCGTCGTATGTTTTGGTGTTGTCATTTTTATTGTTTTTGGTGTTGTCTTGTCAAAAAAGAAATGGTGAGGTCGTCATTCTTTTACAAATTAATCATAAAAATATTGTCAAGCTCTTGGTTGGTTGTCTAGTTATAAACTTTTCTTTACTCGTATGCGAGTTCACCTAAAATTCAACCCCATTTCAACATATTCATGTTCATGACCCAACAATATTTTCATATTCATATTCATGAACCTTGCAATTTCATTAAACCTCAGGGCAGTTTAGCCTAAAAACATTTACCCTGTAGGGCCTATATCCATGAAGGCTACATGTTTCATCAGAAAACTGTAAACAAAGAAATATGATGTGCATCCTAAGCATGATCATGTGTGTATATGATCATGATATGCCTACATATACTACATCAATTGGTTTCCAAGTTATAATCAAATTTTACTAATAAATCATTGGCGAAATTATAATAAATTTTTTTTTAAAAAAATCCAAGTTTTGAGTCTAATAACAAAATAAATCTTAAAATTTTAATTTTATTAATTTAAAACTCTAAATTTTTTATTTATTTTCAATCTAAACCATTTGTCTACTTTTATTACGTAAAATTAATTTAAAAATAAGTATTTTAGTTATTAAATTTAATGAAGAAGGTATTTTAAATATTTTATATACATCTACATTGAGTTTAATGATTCAAGAGTTAATTACCTAAAAATTCTATTTACAAATGTTATGGTAGGTTAGGTCCTATCTAAGATTTTTCTGAACGAATAAGTCTTATTTAGTAAAACTGAGAATATTACCAGTTGTTTTTCAATTTTTAAAGCTAAGAACATTATCAATTTTTCATAGTAATGTTTTAGATAATAATTTCACTAACTGATTGAAAAAAAAAAAGCATGAGATTAAACGTTTTTGTCTTTCTACTTGTTAGTTTGATTCAACTATCCAATAAAATTAAGAACATTATCAGTTTTTTCCAGTTTTAAAACTGGGAACATTATCAATTTTTTTTCAGTTTTAATTTTTTTTTTTCAATTTTGTACATCAATGTTCCATCATCATACTCCTTTATAGACACAAAATTTTTAATTTTGTACAAAAAAATAATTCAGTTTTTAAAATATATATATATATTAGTTTTTTTTTTTTTTTTTGCACATAATTTATTTTTAGTTTTTTCAATTTGAAAGTTTCTATTTTAAAATTTTGAAAATCAAAATAAATGTTAAATCATCATGTTCCCTTATAGATAATCATAAATGATGAATAATCATTGTTTGAAAAGCAATTCCGACTATTAAAAATTTAATGGGACTTGAAGGTCCAAAAAATCTTAGTTTGAACTTAATGGAGTATAAGTTCATAAATTAAGACTTGTGTGTAAATGTCTCATGATTAAAAATTTAAAACACTTTTTTTTTTGTTGGTTTTCCTTAAAGAAAGTAGGTGAATGGTTTAAATTGAAAACAAGTTTAAAATTTAAAATTTAAATTGACAAAATTAAAAACTCATAATTTATTTTATTATTTGACTCAAATCTTAGAGTTTTTTTATTTTATTATATGACTCAAATCTTAGAGTTTTTTTTTATTTTATTTATTTATTTATTTTTGTAATTGTCCTTAAATCATTCAGCAAAAACCAATTTGGATGAGAATCTATTTAAATAAAAAACGACCATTTTTTGTAATTGTCCCTAAAAATTGCATACCGCCCATTGAATTTCTAATTTCACAATAAATTATCATTTTTATTAATAAATCATCATGTCAGTTAACAATTTTTAATGATGTCAAAAATTTATTTCAATTAACAATTTAGATAATTTTATCATTATATAAGAAAGCAGACATAAATTTCATTTTTTCTCAGGTCAAAAAAATCAACTCATTTGAAGACGAACAGACGTAGGGTATTTTGGTCTAAGAAATTGATAAAATGCGCGGGTACTTTGATTAGGGACCTGAAGCAGTATTACATCTTTTAATGTCCTTTATGCAGAAAATTGTTATTATTAGTGAGCTTAAAAAAAAACCCCTTTTAATAAAGACGGGTTGCGTTGCATTTCATTGGTAGGTACTAGGAGGAGACCAAGTAAACCAATCTCCATTAATTAATTACTTAATTTATATTTTACTAATGAAATTAAAACCAAAAGTCAGTCTTTCCAATTCCAAGTGGGGGTGAAGGGAGTTTTCTGGGGGAATTTCCTCATCTTGAGAGCTAACATACATTATATAATTTTGTGCATAATATAAAAATCCCATCTCTACTTTCCAACTTCTCATCTCATAAGCAGCATACACACCAAAAAATCTTTCATTTTTGATCACCAATTTTGGCTGATTTCTTAGTGCTTTCATGCTTGCTGAAGGCTTGAAATGGGAAACAAACAATCACTACCTTACTCTTTTCAGTATAATCGACTTTCATCTTCTTCCCCCCACTCCGACGACAACAACAACCAACAACAACCTCTTCTTCACAATCACACGAGCCACGACGAGGAGGTGTGTGTGTTTCTTGTTCAACAAGTTTTTATTTATTTATTTGTATCCTTGTTGTGTTTATTTATTTATTACATACATATATAGTGCATGGAGCAACTGAAGTCTGACATTGACGCTAATCGGAAAAAGAATGAATCCCTGGAAAAGAGGAATGCGGCTTTGGAGAGACAAGTTTGCGAGCTAAGAGATACTATTTACAAACAACAATCCAGAGTTCCTCCAATTGTTGAAACCAACGTTGCTGCTCTCAATAATCAAATTCATGAATTGAAGTCTGCCGTGTCCAGACTAGAATCCAGCTCCCATCAACCCACTCCCGTGACGATCACCTTCCCCTCCTTGAATTGCACTATTCACTCTTATAATTTGACTCAAATTTCACTTTACTTCTTATTATTTCATTTTGAATAATTTTGTTTTTATATTTTAAGTTTAATTTCAATTTATTCTTTCTGTTCAAGTTAAGTTAGTAATTGTGGAATATATGTTAGCCTCATGTGACCTACACGTAGAACTTTTTTAAACGAATTTGAGAGAAGTATCAAATTGAAACTATACTTAAAATTGTATGAAAAATTGCTCAAATTAAAACAATAAGATCAAAGTGATATGTAAAGTCAAACTAGAATGATAAAATGTGTAATTTGCCCTATATATGTGGGAAAAAAATAATTTCATGATGGGCCTAATTAAATTTATTTTATTTTATTTTTGTGTTATATATGCAAAACAGGTGAGCACTAGTACTGGAATGGGATCAGATGCTGTCCTGAAGAAAGAGGTTGATAGACTGGAACATCGAGTTATGCAACTAGAAGTTGACTCTTTGATGGGTGTTGTGAGTAGTTGTTGATCCCCTATTTATTAGATTTTTTTTTTTTTCCTATTTTTTTTATATCATCTACTTACTTGGTTTCCGACTTTTGTGTGTTTGTTGTATGATGAATGATTCCAGAGGAAACAAGAAATGGAAAAAATTGTAGAAAAGAATGCAGAATTGGAGAACCGACTTGCACAACTAACAACTACTGTTGATGAACTCAAGTCTTTATCTTCTCATGTAAGTAAATGGTTATCTTTGTGCTTGTGTTTGACTATGATCCCTCTCTCTTGTTAGGGAAAATATGTGATTCCCCACAAGTAAATCAATCAAAACTAATGCGAAAAAATTAAATCAAAAGCGGTACAAAATTTTTTATGTGGTTCCCATAATGTGAGGTACGTCCACGTGATCGAAATCCAATTCCACTATCAACCAATAGTTTTCAAATGATTACAAACGAGACGCAAATGGTCTCACAAATCACCCTTAGGTGAATTCTAAATAATCAAGAGGAAAGACCTCATCAAATAGATGAATAAAGTATCTTCAAAGCAAAGTCGAAACACAATCAAAAGCTTGAAAACAAAAGCAGCAACCAAAACACAAAGTCTTGAATTTGACCAAGTCAAATACACAGCAGTAATTAGGGCTGGGCATAAGGTTATCTGAAACGCACAACCCACCAAATTTGAACCAATCCGTATACAAATGGGCGGTTTCGCAAACACAATACGGATGGATGCGGTTTGGAATATGGCATTATTGCGGGTTTCACCTACACCCGCAAGAACCCACCCCCACTTATACCTTTTTTTTTTTTTAAACCTGGACCGTTGATTTCATTCATCCTATCCTAGATATTTTTGCCCAATAAGCCAAACCCTAATCATGGATGTGATTAATGATGGAGTTTCCGAGTTTGCAAATGTTTTTATTTTATTTAATGGGTTTGAATTGGATGAAGTTTGACAATAATTTATTGTTATTTTATTATTGCATTTTGGATGAATGTAAAAGTTAATGAAGAATTACTTTTAGGTAAGTTTAGGATTTTGAATGATTTTATTTTAATTGCATTATTAGATAGTGAATGATTTTGATGATTTAGTTTAGGATTTTGAAAGATGTGCTTGTGTTAGTTTATGATTTTATTTAAAAATTTAAGATTTTGAATGATTTATTTATGTTAGGAATTGATTTTGCTGTGTTTTTAATTTTATAAGTTTTAATTCATTAATTATTAATGTTAAGTATTTTAGAAAATGGGGGGGAAAAAGGCCCAAAATAAATATTTACAAAATGGGGAAAAAAATGCCCAAAAATAAATTTTTAAAGAAAAAAGTCCAATCCGCAAACTGTCCGCAACCGCTCGCACATCCGCGAACCCTATCCGCACAAACCGCAACTCGCACTGCAGGCGGTTGCGGGTTGACTTTTTCCCAAACCGTATAAATGCGGGCAGGTCAAAACCGAACCGCAAACCGCACAAAACCGATCCGCGAGCACCCCTAGTTGCTTGGAAACAAAAAATTTTGAAATTCATATTCAAATTTCTAATAGACATGTCTCTTCCGAAAGGGTTTTCCATTGCCTATATTAAGGCAATCCTCCATCCGGATTTGAGTATCAAATTAGTAAAAAAAAAAAATTCAGACTCCTAGTTTCTTCCTCCTCTTTTCATCCTGCATTTTTATTTTTAGAGTTTAAGTTTGAGAAAGTGTAAAGCACATATTCTGGTTCGCTGTACACATAGAGTTAGCGCAAATTCTGTGTGTGGTGATTGTTGTATCCTGGAGATAGGACGCCTATTAATCTCGAGCACCAATGGAGAGGGCGTTATTCTGTCTTAAAGACACAGTGTCCATACGCTGGCCTCAATTACAACTTCGTTCAATAGTTTGATCTTCGAAAAAATTATAAGTTTGTTTTATTTTATTTATTATTCGCTATTAATTAATTTTACCGAAAATATTCTCCAACAATTTTAAGACAGAATAAACGCTTCAAATTAAGGTTTCAGTTAAATTAATTTTTCTGGTTTCATTTTTTTTTTCCCCTGTGTGTTAGTTCTGTTCAAATACAAAATATATTCTGCATGTTTCTGTTTCAGATACAATTACTGTTTTATGCAGTGTTTTTTTTTCTTTCTTTTCCTGCTTTTGTGTTCTGGTTTAATACATAATTTATTTATTGTCTTTTCATAATTTTAATCTGCTGGTTCTAAATAAGTGTGTTTTTAGACTTTTTTTCTGTTAAGTTTTAATACAAAATTTCATACTATAAATTCTGTATTTTCTGGTTTAATATAGAAGTTAATTATTCTGGGTTGTACTTTTTGTTAACGTTGTGGTTTCTATTCGATATACATATATATATTATAATCGTGTTTGTTTGAATCTGCTGGTCTGTTTTCTTTTTCAAACGCATAAAAAAAGAAACAAAAACAAAAACAAAAACAAAACAAAACAAACCAAAACAAAAATTGTTCGTTGGTGAAACGTCATATGTGGACCACTATTATTTATTTGTTTAGTTTGGTGCACTTTGTTTGTGGCTTGCCTAGATCAATTACTTTATGGTTTATTGTGTTTCAGATTGTTTATTAGATTATATTTCATATATTAATATATTGTCAGAATCTGTTTATTTGTTAAGTATAACAAAACATAATAAGTGTATTTATATATATAGTTTGTGGTGTTGTCTGCATCGCTTTTGTTTTCTTTTATTTTATCAGTTATTGGTCTCCTGAATTTTGAGGTTCTTTTATCTTAGTTACTTATTGTGAAAAGATTTGGTTTTATCGTTTGTTGAATCGTAAAGGTAATGTTTAAATGGCAACTGAGACTGTAATCAGTGATGGAAATGCAAACCCAACATCTACATTTGTCGTGGTTTCTACTCATATGGTTACTTCACTTCCCACCACTATCCCGGTTAACCACAATGAAAAGCTGAAAAAATTTAATGGGACAGAGTTTAAGAGATGACAGCAAAAAATATTGTTTTATCTTACAACTCTGAATTTGGCAAGATTTGCCAAAGAGAATGCACCCGCCTTGAGCGAGGACGAAACTGATCAGCAAGCAATTGTCGCAGTTGAGGCACGGAAGCTTTTTGATTTTTTGTGCCGAAACTATATTTTGAATGGATTGGACAACACATTGTATAACGTGTATAGTCCATTACAAACGGCTAGAGAATTGTGGGAATCTTTGGACAAGTAGTACAAAACGGAAGATGCGGAAATCAAGAAATATGTGGTTGGTTGTTTTCTTGAATACATGATGGTGGACTCGAAGACAGTAATTAGTCAAGTCCAAGAGCTTCAATTGATTTTACATAAAATTTATGCAGAGGATATGAGTTTGAGCGAATCTTTCCAAGTGGCAGCTATCATTGAAAAACTACCACCATCTTGGAAAGAGTTCAAAAACTACTTGAAGCACAAACGCAAGGAAATGAAGTTAGAAGACTTGATTGTCCGATTATGGATTAAGGAAGATAATCGTGATGCAGAAAAGAAACGAAATCCGGGATTTATTTTTAAAGTAAAGGCTAACATATTGGAGCAAAGAGAAAAAGAGACAGCGTCCTAGGCAAAACTTTAAACAAAATACTGGTCGGAGTTTTAAGATTGGATCTATAAAGTTCAAGGGAAAGTGCTTTGTGTGCAACAAGGTAGGACATCGGGCCAAAGATTGTCGGAATCACAAAGATCAACAAGGTCCTTCCAAAAAGACGAAGTATGAACAAGCATACATAACTAAATTGGAGACTTTGTCTGATGGAGTGACTGAGATGAACCTTGCAGCGGTTGTGTCTGAAGTAAATCTGATGGGATCAAACTCCAAGGAATGGTAAGGGGACATCGGGGCAACACGACATGTGTGTGCAGATAAGAAAATGTTTACTACCTATCAACAAGTTAAGGATAACGAGTAGCTCTTCATGGGAAACTCCTCTATTGCAAAAGTTGAAGGACAAGGGAAGATTGTGCTCAAGATGACTTCGGGCAAGGAGCTAACGCTTAACAATGTTTTGAATGTTCTAGAAATTCGGAAAAACTTGGTGTCTGGATCATTGTTAAGCAAGAATGGTTTTAAATTGGTCTTTGTTTCTGAGAAATTTGTTCTGTGTAAGGATGGTGTTTATGTAAGGAAGGGATACCTGTGTGATGGGTTATTCAAAATGAATGCATTGACTGTAATTCCTAGTATTAATAAGAACACCACATCTTCTGCTTATTTGTTTGAGTTTTCTCATTTATGGCATGGTAGATTAGGACATGTTAACTATGATTCGTTGTGTAGATTAATTCACTTGGACTATTTACCTAATTTTTCTATTAACTCAAATCATAAATGTGAAGTGTGTGTTGAGGCAAAATTGACTAAGGCACCATTTAATTCCGTTGAAAGAAGTACTGAGCCACTGGATTTAATTCACAGTGATATTTGTGATTTGAAATTTGTTCAAACACGAGGGGACAAGAAGTACTTTATCACTTTTATTGATGATAGCACGAGATACTGTTATGTATATTTATTACGAAGCAATGATGAAGCCTTAGAAAAATTCATTGAATATAAATCTGAGGTTGAAAATCAACTTGGCAGGAAGATTAAGGCATTAAGAAGTGATCGAGGTGGCGAATATGATGCTCATTTTGGAACATTATGTTCACAACTTGGAATCATTCATCAAACTACTGTGCCTTATACACCACAGCAAAATAGAGTTGTTGAGTGGAAAAATCGTACATTGAAAGAAATGATGAACGCTATGTTGATTAGCTCAGGTTTACCCCAGAACTTGTGGGGGGAAGCAATTCTTCCCGCAAATTATATTTTGAATAAAATACCACACAAGAAGATTCTTAAAACTCTATATGAATTATGGAAAGGTCGAGATCCTTTTTACAAATATTTGAAAGTGTGGGGGTCTTTAGCTAAGGTGGCCATTCCCGATCCTAAAAGGGTCAAAATAGGACCTAAAACTATTGATTGCATATTCATAAGATATGCACATAATAGTAGTGTTTATCGATTTTTAGTATACAAAAGTGATAATCCATGCATCTTTCTTTGAACATATATTTCCTTGTAAATCAATCCAAGAGTTCCCAAATTCTCTAAACGTTCTTATGAAGAGTACATTTGATCATAGTCTAAGGAAGATTAAAGATAATCAAGACG